TTTTATGAGCTATAACTTGTAGTTTTGGGCGTGTCTCTGTAATCACAAGATAGCTGATATTGCTGTTGGGACAGTTTAGGAGGGTTTGGTCTTTCGTGCCTTCAGACTTTGCTATCAACCTGGGGTGTGTGTGTTACTGCTTTGGGTCAGCTGTACATTCTTCTGACTTACATTTTTGTCTAGCAAGTATGCAAGCTTGGCTTGTAGCAATGCCTGGAGACAGATACAAACATCACTGATGTGTTTACACCAGGTATTTTATAAGACTTGGAAGTATTGCATAGCCGCTTCTTCTAGAATTCTGTCCGAATACTTCTGTGCATAATGAGATATGTGTGTGGTGTTAAAAAGATGTGGTTTAGGTTGAAAAGTTATGCTCCTCAGTGCTGAGGAATTGACAGAGGCACCGTTGCTTATGCCACCTTGATTGTGGCCACACGTGTGTCTCTCTGGTGCAGTGAAGGAAACAGATGTCCCACGGAAAAATTGTTATGTGACCATGTAATTGCATTGCAGTGCAGTTGTTCAGCACACTCCTAGTGTGACTGTCCATTGTAGTAATTCTAGGTCTGGTTTTGAAAAGCAAAAGACAAGAGCAAATCATGTGCCTTGTTGCTGTGTCAGTTTCCCTGTGGACTCATATATTATCAGTACCAGAGATTGAAATTCGACCCTTCAGTGTTGCAACTGAGACTCCACCATGTGAATTTCTGCTGCCTGGCAGATGGATCCAGCTACTGGATTTTGTGGTAGGGAACTCAGCCCAGCTTTTTTTTCGCTCCCACGGGTGGACAGCTTCAGAGTGTGCTATAGGAAAGTTGTGTCATTTTTGGAGGTAATGATCACGTTCTGATGTTGACGGTTGTGGTCTGGTTGTGTGACAAGAGGCTCCTGGCTGCAGGCAGCTGGGAAGCCCAAAGCAAGGAGCAGGAGACACCTCTCAACAGAAGCACATAAAAATCACAACTGCAGAGGCCTCTGTAAAAAACATGAGAAGACAGTGACACTAATCTGGACTAGAATTAAACAATACTTTTGGTTGTTTCTCACCTCTTGTTTTTTAAACAAGACCTGTACCTTGTAGAAAAGCAGTGCTCATATATATATAATGTATATATACTGTATATATACCATATATATTTTATATATATAATATAGAGGGGTATATTTTAACAGGGGTATATTTTATACAGGGGTATGTACAGGGATGTATTTTAAGGGGTAAATTTTAATGTGACACAGCCCAGAGCTTGCCAGTGCCACTGAAATTGCCAGCTTCATGCCTCATAAAATAGCTGATGTTGGCTGAGCAAGTGGAGATGTTTCTCAACTGACTTCAGCAATCTTTCTGTAGTTGGCAGTGGGCTTATGACAGATGAAGCTGAGTAATCAGGAGTTTGTGGCTGAAATTGGAGCCCTGCACCAATGAAACATGCCATGGGCAGGAGTTTGTTTCATTTGGAGTTGTTAGGAAGGATCATAGAATTTAAAAATTTTGTATCTTTTGTTTTGAACCTGATCAACTGCTGGGTGAAACAGCCCATCAAGGCAGATGACCTTTAAAGGTTGCTCCATGTGCCTGTATTTATTGACCTTTCCTGGGAACTTTGTTTTTCTTGTGGCAGCCTAAGCATTCAAGCTTTAAACTTTACTGTGATTTAGAATAATAGAATAATCATAGTCTTTAATCCTTACCAGAAAGGTATGATAACTGTCAATTTCAATAGCGACTGGTTCCTTTTTGCTGAAATATCTGAGCTTTGCAGAGCTTTACACATACTTTTTCTCTTCCATTTTCTAAAAGCACTTTAAAATTTTCTTTGTGACGCTGATTTCAAAATCTTCATTCAGGATTTCTCATTGAGCCCTTTGCTCCTTGGTGAAGTTTCTGATGGTTCAAGTTTATTGTAATAAACTATATTATGTGACTGTAATCTGCTGCCTCCCTCTGCATGCAAACTATGTGAAGCAGTCAGAGGGTTGTGATGAGGTGCCACCAGCTACACACAGCAGGCAGGAGAGTGCTTTTCGTTGTTGGAGAAGTTTGCTCACAGTTCCTGGTTTTCAGGGACTCAGGGATTTTGAGTCATGATTTTTTGAGTCATGATGGTTTCCTCTTGAAAAACTGGATATGTTGTGTAGCCTCATTACTACGTAATAGCTTTAACGTAAAGGGAGGGAGAAAAAACAATCTGGATCATCTCATTTGTAAAAATGAAGCATTTGACCCAGGTTGCAATCAAGCCACTATTTATGAGTGCATTTTTGGAATGTGCAGAATAAAAATCTCACAAAGCAAATACTTGCTTCTATTACTGTCAAGTAATAGAAGCAAGTCCTGTTTCATAACAAGACAAATCTGGGAACCTCTCATTTATGTTGAGCCTTTCTTCTTCAAGTTTGAGGACTCAGATTGGGGTGAAACTTCAGATATGTGCTTAGACTAAAGCAAGAGAGACCTAAAAAGCACAGACTATTTTCTGCTGGAAGGGGCCTTTAAAGGTCACCCAGTTTAACCCCTCTGCAGTGAGTAGGGACACTTGCCACTAGGTCAGGTTCCTCAGAGCCCCAAACAGCCTAATCTTGAATGTTTTCAGGGATGGAGGATCCACAAATTCTCTCGGTGAACTGTGCAAGTGTTTCACCACCCAGTCTAAATCTATCCTCTTTTATTTTAAAACCATTACCCTTTTTCCCTGTCACAACACAGTCTGCTAAAAGATCTGTCCCCATCTTTCTTATAATAATATAATGTAAATACTGAAGGGCTGCTCCGTGGTCTCCCTGGAGCCTTCTCTTTTCCAGGCTGGACAACCCCAAGTGTTTTAGCCTTTCCTCAAAGGAGAGGTGCTCCAGCCCTCCCATCATTTTCTGTCCATGCTCTGGACCTGCTCCAAGAGGTTCATCTTTCCTGTGCTGAGAACTCTAACTCTCAGTAGGCGCAGAATAATGGAGCTATAAAAAGCTGCCAAACTTAGATGAGCTGAAAGAAAAGCTTTATTTCTAAAGATACACAGAGGGAATTACATAAGCTGTGGCTGATGAGGTGTGTCTGAAATGTTGGCACAGTTATCAGGTGACTGGCATTTCATTCCTCTTGCCAGTGATGATGATGGAGCCCTGCTCAGCATTCAAGCCTAAAGAGCTTTTTCTTTGAAGTGAAGTTACTCCTTTTTAGGAGGCAAAATAGGAAACAAAAATATTTTGGTTCTGTGAAAATGCATGGTTAATATTGATCAGCTATCCACCATAGCCAATAATGGGAAGAATTAGTTCTAAGACAAATTTTTGTTTTGTTTTGTTTGGGTTTTTTTGTTTTCATTCACCTAACTGGCAAGCTTCTGACTCCTTTTTATGCCACAGAGGTGAGCTTGCAAAGCTGTTCTGGTGCTTTTTGTCACTATGAATCTGGCAAAACTTCTTCTATAGCCAGGAAACTGTGCAGTACATATCTTTGCTCCATGTGTGGAGGTTATATTAGAAGATCTGGACTTTTTGGGCTGATCTTGAACCCAAAGACTAAAACTCCCATAAGCAGTACCAGAGAAGGATTAGGTATGTAATCATTAAAAAGTTAGAGATGGGAAGGACTGCTCCTCTTGGTACAGGATGGTATTTTTAACTGCTGATTTTTTTTAAATGAGAACTGGTGTGATCAATCACATATATAATAAAATTTCAAGTGAGTGAAAGTTTAATAAAATGAAATTTTAAAAGAAAAAGAAAAGATGAGAGGAAGGCAAAGATATTCCAAATACACACAGGAGGGGGGAAAAGAAAATCCTATTTTGATTGTGAAAAGGATTATGTGCCACAGTGGTTATTTGTACACACAGAAAGAAATGCCAGGCTTAAGTTCTATTTAGCCCTTTAGAGCAACCGAGCTAATCTATGAATAATGACCCAGCATATCAAACCACTGGGTTCTCCTAACATCAGTCATTGAACTCTACCCAAGATATTTGGAAGCAGAACATAAAAAATGAATGTCATCTGACAGCAGCCAGATCAGTACCAGAGCTAAAATAGCCCTGGCCTTGCAGCTCCTGGTGTGTGACACAGGGATGGTGCATATCTGCTTACGGAGGGTGCTCTACTGCTGGGGTGCCTGCAGCCAGCAGCCAGGCATCACAGACCCCAGCACGCAGCTCCCGGGCCACAGACAAAAGATTATATGTTTACATCAGGATATTTAACTTTTATTTATGAGTAATACAATGAGGCATGCAGGCCTTAGGTGATCCGTGTTAGTTTTTGTCTGAGTATCACAGCAGGTGTAACAAAAGCATATGATTTGAGTGAGGTCACTTACCCCTTTACTCCTTTGATGTAATCACAGGGTGGGTTGAGATCTGCATTATGCTCTGCATTTGAAAACCACGCACTTACATTTGTATATGATGCCATAATAATTTTAAAAGGTTCTCCTGCAGGAAAAAGCATGTTTTGCTGTGTTTTGCAGAATTATAAAAAGGTAGCTTTTACATCTCTCTATTGTTCTTTCTTCTGAGTTTCCTTTGCTGCTGCCACTGTTAGTGAAGCCTCTGTCTTACAGAGGATTGCAGCAGGAGGCCTCAGAGTTGCAGAAATAATAGAATATGATGTACTGAAAAGGGAAATGAAGAAAACCTTAAAGACTGAAAAAAACATTTAATGACAAAACACTGCTTTTATTTTTTATTGTCTTAGGCTCATTTCTTTAACTAATCAAAGCTGATTCTTGTAGTTATTTGTTGTCCTGCAATTTCAATGATGCTTTAACTGTGTCCTGCATCTGATGTAATTTCACACATCAAACTTCTGTTGGCATTTTTGCATCTTTGTCAAGTATAACCTAATATTTTCTGAAATGCTGTGGGATGTTTTTCACTTTTGCAAATGAAATTTGACCACATTTCTGATTTCCTCCCCTCCCTTCTACTTTTATATACCTTCTATGTTTTGTCAAGTTTCTACTTCTTGTACAGATTTTTCATTTAAAAATTTTCTGTTTTCTTTAGGGAACAGCAGTATTACAGTCTGGAGTCTTACCAGCTATATCAGGTAAGAGCCATTTAGTTATTTACTTTATTAAGTCTCAAATTGTGATAAGAGAAACAAAAGATTTATGGAAGCAGAACTAAATACTATATTGAGAGGTGTCCTGTTTGTGGTTGGTTTTGCTGCTGTGATTCATGACTTGCAGTAATGAAATACAGTGTAATGTGTAATAATCTTGGTTGAAAAGATTAATATATTTGTTTTCCCCTTTCTTTTGTTAATCTGAAGAGATTCAAAGTTGTTAGAGTCTTAAAAAAGCTGTTTACTGCCTTTTCTACTTACATATGCAAAGAACACCAAGAATTTTTTCTTTTTAGGCTATATTAGCACCAAAGGCAAACATGATTTATATGTTCAGTGTGTATAGTGACTTTCCTAAATAACATAAAACCACAGGAATGAATCTTTAGCAGCAGCAACTGGGAGATGCTTCTCTAATGTCAGTGAAGCTATTGATTGACCAACTAAATCATTAATGAGAGGATATTGAGTGTCTGGCCTGGAAAGATTATTTATGCAGAGGCACTGACCATCCCTGCATTGTAAACCTCTGTATCAGTAGAATGTGCTGGTCACCTGAGTTCCCTGTCTAATGCAGCCAAACTGGTCTGGCACATTTGAATTATCATTTTACTTCCAAGAAAACATTTCATAAGCATTTGGTTTTGTGTGATTTCTCTCCATCTTAGACCTTGGAGAGATCTGTGCAAAGAATTTGGTTACTGTCTTAAATGTCTTTCCATTCTTTAAATAGTTTACCTGATAATTCATCAGCTCCATTAAATTTCATAGGATTCCCACCTCCAATAGGTATGGAGCAGCTCTTTGTGGTTGGGTTTCTTTACCACTTTAAAAAACCTTGGCCAATACATAAAGCAGTGTGATGGGTGGATTCTTGTGTGAACAAATCCAGCAAGATACTCAGGATCAGGAGGTGTCTCTGGAGAAGGTTAAAAATAACTCCTTCCTTTGTCTGTCTTAGCAGGAGAAAATCCAGAAGCATTTAGCAGATCTTGTTGCTAATTATTCCACTCAAGTCAGTGGAATTATTCTTGATTTATAGAGGTGTAAGTAGAAGCCCAAATTGGATCATTAATTTTATCTTTCCCTCTGGTACTCAAGTTTCTAGTCCTCCACTCAAACCAAGGAAACCAGAACACTTATGATTCAAGTGTGTGTAAATACAGGGAAACTTCTGCTGCATGTGGTGGGCAGAATGTTATTTCTGTATTAGTTTCAGTGTCAAGTTAATTTTGGATGCAAACAACATCTGACAAAAAACTTAATCTCAGACGATTCATGCATATGAGGGAGTTAGCTGTTTTGATAAAACCTATTATGAAGCAAATTGGAACTGCAGAAATACAGGACAGATTTTTATATCAACAGAAAGAGAATCAAAAGAAAGAATGAAGAAGTTTGAGCAGGTGTGTTTTATTGTCTGGTACACTGGAAAAATATAGTTTATGAAAATAATGCAGGAAAAATTATAAATGTTTAAGACAAATGCAACATCTAAAGCCAGTGACTGAAATTTTCTTTGTGGGGTTTCACCTTTCAAATTTTCCAATATACCAGTACAATTTTATTCTTCAATGCTAAAACTATTTTTCAGAATACAAGAGGAGCGGAAGTTTTCTGTGTCTCATTGCATTTTTATTATCCTTAGATATTTCATTTAAATATTATTATTATTATTATTATTATTATTATTATTAATTTTATTTCTTCTTTATTATATTAAAGTTTTCTCTTTTATATGTGTGAGATTTTAAGTATAATTGAACTTGACATTGCAAAGCTTTCAAAATAATTCTGTAGCATTTGAATATTTAATCTAAGGTATTAACTGAAGGTCCCAGGCAGTCATTCACACTGTTCTGTTCCACTAAAGGAACTGCATTAGAACTTGTCTGTGGTTCTCTATTATGAGAGATTATTATCCATTGTTAGAGTAAAATAGAGGCACAGTAATTTGAGGTAGCTATTTTCAAAGCCTGTATTGTGCATACATATGGCAAGATCCCTCTGCTAACATGGATGACTTTAGAATGACACCCAATACCCAGATAAAACATTTCCTGGTGTAGCAGTTCACTTACTCACAAATACATTTCTTTTTTATCATATTTTCATTCAAATACACTGTAGAATGAAAACCCATTCCTTCCTGGGCTACAGGTGCCCACATGTTCTGTGCAATATTTTTGCTCTTGAATGTCTCAGTTCTGTAGCAAGACATGGAATTAAACAGTCACAAATCAATTGTTTGTGTATTTGTCTGTTTATTGGTCTGGAATGTGGGTATTCTCTTTCTCCTTTTAGCGAGATATGCTGAGCAACAGACTCAGCAACTTTAAAGAATTGTGTTTCATTCTAATGGCAAAGAGAAAAGTGTTCTAAATATGGCAACAATTTTAAATTGCATTGTTAGATGGAAAAAAACAAGTTGGGGTGAATCATTTAATTCAGGTTTAAATAATTTGGTTGCCTTTGTTATAAATAACTTTGTAAATATTGATTAGAAAGAGAGACGGAATTAGATTACTCGAGTTTGTAGGAGGAAAATGTTCCCATTGTTATCATAGCTTTGTACTACAGATAAAGGCAAGGGATTCTTTGGAGTTGTATGATGTGTGAATGTGTGCTCTTAAGTATAATAGACTGCATTTATAGTCATGATGGACCTCAAAATACCATGACAGGATAGAGGTTCAAAAATAGGATTCAGATTTCCTGAGACTGCTGGATTCTGGAGACACCTCAGTTTGGTACATTTTGTGTGAGCAGTTCCCAGGGGACCTGTACAGAGACTCTCATGACTGCTCAAGAAATCCTGCAGCTGGATCTGGTGGTTGCAATTTCAGAGATAAGTATGTAGGGCTTTTTCTCAGGAGCTGCTTATGTGCTTTGAGTTAAGGGATTGTGAATGAGATCCACACTCACTGTTGAGAGGTGAAGCAAGAGACTGCACATTCCTTCACAGAATGGTGAGCTGAAGAGCTTGCCATTATCTTCACTGTCTTTCTGGTACTATAAACCAAAGCACCCTAGGAAAAATAGGACTATTTTCTAGTGAGACTAGAAAAAATAGGATTAATTGTCTAGTGAGAGTCTCTGCCTGGAGGTTTGGATGTTCTTCTGTGTATGTCTGACAGATGTTTGTTTAGTTCTGCAGTGAGAATCCTTAATCCACCTTGAATCATCCAAAGTCCTCTGCTATTCTTACATTTATAATGTATTTCCTAGCAGTTGTGCTGTTTCTCATTGAAATTTAGGCCTCTTATTTTAGTCTTGTTCTCCTTCCTATTCCATTGCAACACCTTAGATAAGGAACCTCCAGCTCTTACTCATAAGGGCGAGTGATTTCCTTCAAAATATTTGTATTTTCTCCGTTGAGTAGAAGTCTGTCACAGCAATCTTCTTTTATGAATGATGTTTAAACCATGAGGATGTTTTGTGTGGAGGGGAAATGTCACTATTTTTGTCCTTAGGGAAATGCCACTATTTCTGTCCTTAGCTGCCAGCCCCTTCCAAATGAGCTGAGCAGACTGAATCCCAAGACTCCTATTTAGAGAAGGGGGACTGGGAGCTGGAATAGCTTGCAGAAGTGCTTAGGGACACTGCAGTCCCTGGAGAAGGCATTTCATGCCAGCTCTATGCACCATATTTCAGAAACTTTCATCCTTTCCCAATTCCCACAGGGGAGCTGCTTGCCTGGGCATTCCCATGAGCCTGGCCCAGCCCTGAGTATTTCAACACTCAAATTAAACTTGCCTAGAGAGAGGTCTGATCTCCCTGCACCTCTGTGCCACAGGCTCTGGCTTTGCAAAAGCCCATAGTTGTATGGACAAGTAACAAATATGCTCCCAGGGAAGCAGTGCACTTTCAATTTGCTTTTTGACTTGTAAATTATCTCTCTTCTTTTCCATTTCCCCCCTTATTCCATAGGAGCAAATTCACTGTCATTGCAGCAGACAGTCTTGCTCTCTGACAGCCCCTTTGCTTGCAGTACCAAACCTACACAATGCTTGATGGAAAATGTTCTGAGCAGATGAATTAAGGAAAAAAAATAAAACAATGCTGTGGATTGGAATTCAGCTAAAATATCACCTGAATGCTGATTATGAACACTGTATCTCTGTTAAATTTTTCTTAGGTAGATAGGGACTCAAGGCAGGCAGACAAGAAGAATAAAATTAAGTATATAACAGATGCTGAAAACGAAGTCAGCTGTCTGACAGCTTAGCTTTTCTGATGGAAAATGAGGTGCTTTTTTGTGCATTTTAAAATATTTTTATTGCATACCTATGCAGCATGATACTTTTATTCCAAGCTTAGGAGTCAGCTTTTGAGGAATTATTTCAGAGCAATGAGAAAGAAGAATCTGGGCTATACTGTGGTGGTTATTATTGCTTAGGTTGAAAAAAATTTACAATTCTCATTTTTTCAGGATTTGCGCTGTCAGCTCTTCAGATGTAGGAAGACCAAATGCACTCTGATATTTTTATTTAGCCAGTGAAGGGCTGTGTGTTGAACAGTGTCCATAGATATGTCATGTCATACCTTATAGGGCTAAACACTGTAATAGAAAAGCATCATTCTAATGAGAAACTGATTAATGAAACCCTGCCATAATGTGGCATGCTCTTTCTTGGTCCTACTTTATTCTACAAGTCCACTAAAAATAATTCTGCAGAGGAAGAAATACAGGAGCTCAGAAAAAGTAAACTTATTAAAATACATATTGCATTTACAAACTAAGTGTTGGTCTTGGTGACTGTCTGAATTAAGAGAGGCCTTTTCCCAGAGGAGAAAAAAATCTGTGGGGAAACCATGCCAATGAATGATCCCAATGCTGCTGCTTCACCCTCTGGGCTGAGCAGATCCAGCAGATCTTGTTCTCTGTACTGGGGGTGACAGAAGGTGTTGAGTCTGTGTCACAGTAACCCTCTAGTCCTGTCCTTTATTTATTTGTGATTTGCTTCTCTGTGCCTTCTCTGACACTGAAATCTGGGGAAATGACACATCCCAGCCTTATAGAACACAAAGGTGAGGACCTTATTTGAACACATAGTGATTATTTCAAACTTTAAAAAGAATTTTTGGTTTTGTGTCTGACCTTCATCCCTGGCCAGCATAGATCCTGAGCTTCACATGTATTAAGATTTTTGAATTAAATGCATGTAAAGCATCTTTGAAGGTGTATTTTTCAAAAAAACTGCAGACACTGAATTTCCTGGCAGGAAAATGGTAATAATTCTAACTGAATGCTTTTGCATTTTTAAGGATAGGTGGCTGGGCTGGAATGGCCCACAGCATGGAAGATGAGTAATTGCTTAGAGGTAGTTAGATCCTCTGTTATTTTTTTGCACAGACTAAATAGACATCTTTGAGGAGCAATATTTGAACAAAGTGCTTGAATGCATTTCTAACTTTGAGAGATTCTCCCACTTTAAGTTGTCTGCTAGAGAGACAGGAGGCATTTCTGAATATGGAGAAATCTGTAGAGCAAGCAAGCATTTTTAAGTAACCCCCTTCAGCTTTTATAGCTTGCAGATAATGCCATTTGTGTAGCAGAAAATAGATGAAATTACTTTGAAAATGGAAGAGAATGAACAGGGAGGTTTTGTAGTGCAAATATACAGGAGCAGGAAGTCTCCTGTTACATTTCCATGAAACAACCTCCTGGTGCTCTTGCAGGGTTCCTCCTGCCAATCAGTTGCTTTAGCCTTTGGATGCTCTTTTAGGCAAGGTATCTGTTTTCAGAGGAGGAGATGGGAATGTTGCTTGGGTGAGTGGGTCAAAGTTCTTCATAATAAAGCTAGTTTTAATTCAACAAGAAGCAGGGTTTCATCAAAGAATGTGGTGGGTTTTTTTTCTGTTCTGACTCCTTGTCAGGAAATTTAGTAGCCCAGACCTGAAGAGTTTGTGACCTACCCCTCAAAGAGGCTGGGCAGTGAGAAGTGGTCACTTGGTCAAGTGCAGGGCTGTGTGTGTCTCCTCACTGGTCATGCAATGATAAGTCAGAGGATGAAAATGTAAACTGTCTGGGCTCAGTTTATAGTTTATAGTCCATCTTCCCTCTTGTTATTTTCCTTTTCATGGCTATTTCTTGTAGCACATGTGCTGTAAACTACCCTTATTTTTGAAGAATAGGCATAAAGTACTAACTATAAAGCTAGAAAAATATTTCAAATAATTGTTGTCTTCACTGAGCTATGTTAAACTTTTGAGTCTAATCAAATGTTGGAATTCAAAATATCCTGCAAATTATTTTGTCAAATTTTGAATACCTTCTTTCTCTCACACATTGAGGAAAGTGGAACAGAAGCAACTCTTTTGATGAGATATTCAGTTCTGAGAGAGATTGAGCGAGTCAGCCACACAGACCTAGATGGCAGGGGAAGCTGAAAAAAAAATTCTTAACTTAACAATCTCTTGTAAAATGAGAAGAATAATGGAAGGGAGTGTCTGTCTCCTGCTGGATACTTTTTTTGCTCAGAAATTTATCTTGCTAACTTGCTTTTTCCATTCCTGCAACTGTTATCCTAGAATTCATGAATAAGAAACAAACCAGTTTATTCAGTAGCTGAAAAGAAGGAAGAAAATATCTAGGTTGATCTCTGTTGACATGTGTTTATATGATGAAGTTCAAAGCTTCAGAAAAATTCCCTGAGAGATTTGGCTATGTAAATATTTGTTAGTTGCCAGATTTGAAAATGAGGAAAATGCAACAGGTCAAATCCTGAAACATTAACATGGTTCTTTTAAATAACCTCTGAATGGGAAAATTTAAACTTGACCATAAATGGATTGGAATATCTTATCGTTTTAAATCTCCTTTCCTGACTTGGGCATTCTTCACAGATTCTAAAAATGTTGCTTAAGAATCCACAATGCCTCTGGAATAATTTCTGCTGAATTGCAATAAGTTTTTGAGGGAATAAAAAACCCAACCCAACACTAGTTTTGTGATGATGCTGAAATTAGCATAAGGCTCTAATCTTTCTTCAAAGTATGGGGAGGCTTTTGGCTTCATAAAACATATTCTGATGTTTTCAATGCAGAGAGAGGATGCACTGATGTGAGAATAAGGAAGATGAGTTACAGTGAAAATATAAGTAAATCAGCTAGCCTGGGGCTGTCCTATTTTTGCATTTATTTTTATCAGCAGTCTTGGTATAAACAAAATTTCAAATAACATTTTTAGTTGTTAAGTCCTCAGCAGAATTCTACAATCTGTAAAGGTTCTGTAATCTGACCGCATTTGTTAAAACACAAAATCAAATTCTCAGTATGGCATACTTTAAAATTGAATTTTGTAGCCTTGGATTACCCTATATATGCTTTCATGTACATAAAGACAACAAACTAAAGGCTTTAGTTCAGTTGTGCCCTTTTGAAATAGTTTTTTACTATTGTTTTAATCTGTTGTCCTCATTAAGTGAAATAATGAGTGGCTTTTTATATTTATTTTATAAAACTGTAGGATTAATTTTACATGCTTGGAAACTCTTAGATTTGGAATGAAAATTGTATATATACTTTATACAGGAGGAAAAAAAAAAAGAAATTGCCACTTTCTTTAGATTCCCAGGCCGTGCAGCTTTTTAGATATTTCAGAATATTTATCTCACAGAATTTCTTCATGTTGCATAAGAGCTGTGGTAATTTTTGGACGCTATTTTAAAAACAATTTGCAGAGCAGTGTCTCACCTGCTCAGAGACTATTCATCAGCTTGGAAGAGTGTTAATTTTAAAAGTGAACCCCAGCAGGCTGCGGCACATGGCAGAGCCGCCCTGGCAGCAGCGGCAGGTTACTCATACCCACAGCCTCCCACCCGCTCCCTGTTCGGCTCCATCTACTGCACAAGCAGTTCCCTCACAATTATTCATGCCAGGAAGTAAATGCCACTCAGCTCTGCTGGGGTGGCCGCAGTGCCAGCAGCAGGGAGCAGGGATTCGGGGTGGATGGGTGCGGTAAGCCGGCAGCGGGGATGGTGCTGCTGCTCAAAGAGGGAACGTGTGTGCGCGGCCAAGCCACGCTGCAGGGCCACCTCCCTGCAGGCTTCTCAGCTGATGGCTCTTTTTCCTCAATTTCCCTAGGGCAGCTTCCTGCTGGCCAGACTCAGGCTGGCTGTGCCATCTGGGGTGTCCATGGCTGGAACACTGGGAGGGTGTTTCATGGAGCAGATCCCTTGTGTTCCCTTGCTCTGGCCTGCTGTATCCATGCCTAGACATGGCTGGTGGAGTGCTGAAGTGTGGCAGTTTTCTCATTCACCTAGATAGGTTTTGGATCCACTCTGACAAGATTTTAATGAACACTTTAAACTCTGTTGTTGCTAAAGCTGAATTATGGATTGCAAAGGCATCTCCCAACACCATTCTCGTAGCCATTTTACTTCTTAGCTCAAGACAGCTTTCCCTGTGAGGAAGGTAGTACTCACCACAAACAGGGAGGGACAGCATCCTTAGGTTTTATAGAAGGCATCCTTTCTCTCTAAAGAAAGAAAACAACAAAATTGGATTTTAATGCCACAAATTCAGGGTAAAGAATTTAGCAAAAATTTTAAAAAATTGGCCAAATTTTTTTGAAGAACAATTACTTGTAATTCTTTGTGTTTTGTTTTATTTTTTTTAGATGTTTCAGAAACATCTGCCAAAAATGAAACAGGTATTTAGATTTAATGTGAATCTCTGTCTTTGAAAACAGGTGGTGCTTCTGTCATGGCAGCTTCTGGGTCTTTGAAAGTGCATAGAGGGCACAGTCTCCAAGCTGGTAAGTAAAAGTAGCTATGAGGTATGTGTGCATGTAAATTGAAACTAATTTAAACTTAAATTATTTTAAACTTCAGAAAATATTAAAGGTAACGCATGATTTGATTCCCTATTATAAGGCTTACGTATTTCTTTGGGTTTTTTGCTTTGAGGAGTTTTTGTCAGAAAGGCATTGACAGATGGGATAAGTTTAGAAGAGGCAGTGACAGATGAGACAACTGACAGAGTATAAGCAGTAATCTTATTCACAGCAGTGAAATACTGCCATCACTTTAACAAAGGGCACCCACCGAAAAAATTCACCTCAGGTCATGAGGAGTCCTGTACCCTAACAATGATATGCTGGGAAAAAACACCCACCATATTTAAATATACTTCTTTATGATAATGGAGGAAAAAACCCACTGCCAGCAGATAGAATTATGTGTGTTTGTAATTCAAAATTAATTGCAATATGTTCATTCTATGGACACAGCATTTTTGCTTGCTTGGTTTTAACTGGGGTGGAGTCCGAGATCGTGAAGAAACGTGGGCATCTCTTTTCAGCTTCATGCTCAGGCAAGACCAATGATGCTGTGCAGCCTGGCTTCTTTGTAAAGATGGTGATTTGCACTTGGAAAGCAAAGCTGTCTTTGTAAAGGCTAGCTTAAGCATTTTTGATGGTTTTTCAGAAATCAAGAAGTTATCCATCATGCTGGAGGTGGAATTTTAACAAGAGTCTTCCAGATGCTCCCAAGATCACCCACGCATTGCTCCCTGATTCATGCATGCAAGACAGCTCTGCTCCCACACTACTGTACAGCAAAATGCACTGCTGTTGACTTCAGTGGCCCTCAGTGTTGTAAAAGTGTCCTAAATTTTATTTCCTAGGTGTTACACTCATAAGGAAATGTTGACATCACTGTTACAGAAAAGTCAGCACTAGCCACTGTTTATGCTTTCTGAGGTTGTTCTGTATGATTTAGTTTGAAAGGTTGCAAGTCAAAACCAGAAAAGAGTAGCCTTTGATTATATTGCACAAATTCCTAAATCCAAAGCCATTAACAGTGTTCCTGTATTCTAGGTCCTAAAGGTGGGTATGAGATGCTAACCCTTCCTTCAGAACCTGGAACTCCAACTAGTTCTGAGGAACCTGGTGAGTACAGATTTTTGTGTCAGAGGTCACTAACACCTCTTGTTTCTTTTTAATTTTCCTTCTATTTTTTATTGTTGAGATCTCTTCTAAGTATAATTTTTGGAGTGTTGCCCTTTGAACATGTCAGCTTCACGTGTGCTCACACACACACTTACCTTTGGGATGTAGTTATAGTGCTGGTTTTCTTTCTGTGTAATTTATTGTTCAGTGCCTATATTGGGTAGAAAATATGAATAACTAACACTTGCTGAAACAAGTGAAACAACTTGCTGCTGCGACACCGGTTTCCAATATAACTTTCTTCTCCCCTCCCCAATTATAGTCTTTTCCTTTCTTTTCCCCTCAATTGAAGGCCACTAAATGTTCACTTTTTCCCTTCTCTTGTTACTTGCTTGACTATCTTTTTTGATTCATACAGTTTCTCCTTTTCTCTTCAAGCAATCATGATATTCTAGCAATTCTTTCAGAATGTTTGACCATGCACTGTGGTCTGCTCTTCTCTCAAATCCCCCTTTCACAATGTTCTCCAATACTGGCCCTCTGACCCCTCTTGGAAGCACCTCCTGTCTCTGTCCCCGCAGCAGGGACTGCTGCAAGCACTATCCATGGCTCACTCTGTGCACCATGCTTCCATTAGCTGGAACATTTGACTGTCCTTCTCTTCAAACAAATAAAAGCCAGTTTTCAGTGCCTAATAAGGTTTTGGTTTTTTTTTGTTTGGTTGGGTTTTTTAAGGAAAAATGAAAACCAAGTATTCCTATATTTACAAAGAAAGCACAGTTTCTATTGAGACAGCACTGACTGAACTACAGAAGGCTTTTGCTTTCCTTTCCTCCCATTCCAGTTTGCCCAGCTGTTCTTTTTTTTTGTTTTGTTTTTTTATCTTCTCCTTCTTCCTTTGAGAAGAATATTTGACTGTTGCCAGATTTTTTTTCTATGTGTTTCCTTTGCTTTTCTTGCACAAAGACCTACCAATTCTCCATGTGTAGTTTTTTGACTCTCAGGAAAATCCCTTGGCTTGTTTGCATCAGGTATGATGTTCAGCTTCCCTAAACCTGTTAACTGTTTAGTTCTATAGGGGATCTTGCTAGTTTTCATGCTAGCTAACTTTGAGGATGCTTCACTTCTGTTACATCCCTTCAACAGCATACAGAAAGATTTCAAAAATGATCTTTTCCTTCAGGACTGTTCGTGACTCTGTACTTAAGATTGTCACTTGCAACCTGTAACTTTTTGTGATGCAGGTTTTCAATGCTATGATTTTTCTGGGTCCCTTCCTGCTCAGTCAGGTGAAATTCCTTTGCAATACTTTGGACACAACAATTGAAAATAATTTCTGAGAATGGCGTTTGATGAAAATATAAAAATTCCTTCTGCATTCCGTTCTGCATTGTTTTTGTCATTTTGTTCTTAACATCTTGTTTTGCAACAACAACTTGAATTCTGACTGACAGAGAAATATTTGTCTACTTTTTGGATTTTCCTATGTTTTTTTAATGAAATTCTGTGAGAAAACTGGCCAAATTTCCAGTCTTTTCAGTTTTTGGACTGTACAGTAGACTCCTTTGATTTAAACAGCTTAATTAAGCCTAGGGAGATTCCATTATACTGGAACATACCCATTTACTGTTGCCTAACATTGTATAAGCTATTTCTGCTGCTCATAATACTTCCAAGAAGATGAAAAAGTTTCCCTCAATGGTTATTCACTGCTGCTGTTGTCTGGATATAAGTAATTTTTCCCTATGCTCTAAAATGCCTTGATATCCTGCTGCCTCTCTGTTCACATCTCAACAGGGCCTAAATGGGCAAAAAGGAAAAGCAGCATTTTGGACAAAAAAATATTTGATATGAATTCTTAGTGGGGACAAGGAAGGGCTTAAGAGGAGAAATTCAAGAAAAAGGAGAACCTCAAAGTGATATTATTTTCCCTCTGCACTCCCCTGTCTCAAACTGACTTAAGAGTAGAAAGTCTAAGGATAAGGACTCCAGCTAGACTGAACAGGCAGACAAGACTAAAATAATTGAAAGCAGGACTAGATGAGATCTTGCGAATTATACTAGTAGACAAAAAAATGTTTTTAAGTCAAAATTGTTTCATAGGAACTGTTTCCTAGTAGGTGTTGTTCTGTGTCTTTTTTAGAAAGTTCTAGAAAACTCTGTAGGATTTCCTCTAAAGTTCTTGTGATCTTTACTATTTAGAAGGGTTTTCGCACTATTTTTTTTCCTGCAATGAAAGTCCTTTAATACTTTATTGTCCTCACTTGGCATCATTCCTATCTTTTTCAATTCTGCACAGGGAAGCTGTCAAGCTCCTCAGGTTTGCCCTCCCTTTGCTTGAAACAGTTTTTCAGTCCCTGTTTTTGGGACATGCTTTAAGAACCTCTACTGATTTTGCTTTCTGTCTTGCAGATGATATAGTAGTTCACATCTTCCTAGAACAAATTACTTCACATAAAGTTTTACTAACCTCAGGTAGAGCTGGAAGCCTTGTGAGGTAGTGCTGCTGTCAGAAAAATCTGCAGTGTTTGCCTTCACAAACAACACAGCAAGATCCCTGTCTGTGGTTTGTGACTTTCTGCACAGATCCTGACTTGATCAATGTCTCAGGATATTTAAAGTAGAAACTGTAGTTTTCTCATGTCCTATCTACCACTGAGGAATGTCCTGGTTGGCAAGAGGAGTTATTGCTGCCCAGTGTTTGCTTTCTGTGTGTCTGTATGAACATTGGTCATTGCAAACAGTGCCTGTTTTAACTTTTTACTTATTTCAGAAGGGGCTGTAGGTTATTCAGCTGATGTTCCTACACCAGATCGACCCCACAGTGAGGCAGCCACCTATGTTAATATTCCTGTCAGCCCTACTTCCAAAAAACAGCTTCACTACATGGAACTGGAGCTTCAAGAATCTAGCACAAGCATAAGAGGTAAGGAAGTCTATGATACTTTCAAACAGCAAAGGATATGCAGAATGTATGGGATATGTGGAACCCTGATTTCATATAGGAAGCAGATGAGGGGGCTGGGGGTGTTCAGCCTAGAGAAAAGGAGGCTCAGGGGGGACCTTAATCCTCCTACAACTACCTGAAAGGAGATTGTAGTCAAGTGAGGGTCAGCCTCTTCTCCCAGGAAACAGTGACAGGAGAGGACACGGCCTCAAGCTGCCCAAGGGGAGGTTCAGGTTGGACATCAGGAAGAATTTTTTCACTGAGAGGATGGACAGGCATTGGAACAGGCTTCCCAGAGAAGTGATGGAGTCATCATTCCTGGAACTGTTCAAGAATCCACTTGATGTGGCACTCAGGCTGTGGCTTAGTTGATGGTGGTGCTTGGTCAAAGCTTGGACTCAGTGATTTGGAATTATTTTCCAGCCTTAATGATTCCATGATCTACCCACAGGCTTCTGCTAACAGAGGAGTTGAACCCTGCCATATTTCTGAGACAGCTTTTTAAATTGAATTAAAAGAATTTTTAATTTCTTTTAATTAAGAGTTTTAAATCTCTTCTTGGAAAAGATTTTTGAGTAGTGAAGTTCTATAAGATGTTGCATCCCTTTGACAGGTGATTGTACGTGCACTCTGTCTAAAGTGAACATTTCAGACTCTGGAGTTTGAAAGACAGTAATTTACTTGTGTTCTCAAGATTTTCATTGCATGTTAGGAGTACACTTACCTCATTTTTCTTTCTTGGCTTCAGAAACAGGGCTGTGGGTGTACAGGGCTTGTTCCTGGCATGGCTCTGGAGCCATGCAGCAAATGATTCAGAGCAGAACACAGTGTTCTTCTATCTACTCTCCATGTGGGCATGTCAAAGTGCTACAGAGAGAATGCAAATTATTTAATTTTTTATGTTTCTGTTTGTTTTTTTTTAATAATTATTTTGTTTGAATTGGATATTTTACTTCTAATGCTTGACTTGGGCAATTAAAGCATAAACATGCAATAGATCTGCCATGTGTTGTCATTTGGAGATGCAGTCCTTGCTACAGCAAGCCTCATCAGAATCTGGCATTTAATTCCTTGCATTTGATATTGGTAGGTTTTCCATCTATAATTCTCAACTATAAAGATTTTAATTTTTATACTTCTAATTTCAACAATTTTATTAACTTTGAAATGCTAGCACTTTTCCCATGCTTTTTTGCTTTTTAAATGTTTTTATGTTGTTCATTATGTAACTCTAAGCTTTTCCCAGACCTTAATGTAGTTCTCTCAACAACATTGTGTTGAAATGTAAAAGCAATATTTTCTCTTAATTTTAAAGACAATGAACCAAGGTATTAAAAATGAAGAGCTAAATGCTATAAATTTTCCTAAATGTCAGCTACCCTCCCAGTCTCAAATTGTGTAGCTTTAAAGATGCCTGTAATAACCATAAATATTTTATTTTTTTCATATTGGAGTTTTCTCAGCCTTACAGAAGTATTTTACTGCTTAACAGACTGAGGTGTTTTTGTCTCCCCTATTGCCAAAAAAAATGAGCTGAAGTGTCATTCTGAGTGAGGCTGAAGGTGGTTGCTCTGGTAAACATTCACAGGGTCCCTAATCCACACAAAGAGCAGTGCCAGCTGCCACAAGAGTTTTCTGTTCAAATAGCAGGTTTTGATTTCCTGATTGGTAGCTTGGTGAGGAAGCCTCCCAGAAGTGGGAGAGCCAAGTTCAATTTTGTCATTGACTGGAGTAATAGGGGTGGAGATTCACACCTGGGGCAGGAATGCCAGTGGTTCATTTGCTTATTTGGGGAAAACCAGACCACTAGAATAGGCAGATAACAAAGCTTTCGAGGTGTTCTTTAGTGGTGGTTATCACCTTGCTCCCTTTATACAGCTGTCTCTGAGACTGGACAAAGACAATCCAGGAAATCTGTGGAGGAAGTGTCACAGCAGCCTTTTCACTCAGGAATATGTGAGGGGTGTAGTTCTTGACAGGATTCCATGTGGTGTTTCAGGGGGTGGATCGTCCCGGTACGCCCAGATTGACATTGCGGCCACCGAGACGGCGCACAAGGTGGGCACGCAGCACGCGCAGTGCCGCGAGGAGCGCCTGCAGGAGCTGGAGCAGAAGAAGAGAGGAGCTCAGCAGTGACCTGCCTAGGAAAGAACTTTGTGCTCACCACAAATCCATACTAATTCATCTTCCGAAAGATTCACGTTTATTGTAAAAAAGCACTCACACGAATCGCTGCCGTTGCTCCTTGCGGTTATGCCAGATTCATTCCGATATCTTGATTCCTAATTGGAAGGCTGGTAGCACGAGGGGTGTGTTTGGTCTTTCCTTTTAATTTGGTTGTAAAGTCCAGATTTTTTTGTCATATGCAATGACAGATGTCAGTTAACTTTTTCTATAATTCTAAAATCATGGAGAACCTGGAACCAATTTCAGTGTTTATTAAATGGTGGCATTTTCTTTGAAAATAAAGAACTTGAATATGTGTAGATAAGGGAATGTGAATGTGTGTGGTAAGTGTACACATATGTTTGCATATGTCTGTGTGTAAGCACACATTACTGATAAAATATATGTATATATCTGAGTGTATAAAATATGTAAAACCTCTATTAATATATTAATGGACTCTTACAAAAGCAAGAAAATCCAGTGCCTGCTCTTTTTGCAGGTACAGTTTTGTTCAATTTATGTGCTTATTTATGGACATGCTCAACTATACCTATGGATAATTCAGTTTTATACTTCACCAAGTCCCGCAGCTTTGGCTAAGGTTGCTCAGATGTAAAAGCTGGAGTGTCAGGGATGCATATGTGTCTGCAAACAGAGAAGAGCACACAAACAAGGTATTTAATGATGTCTATAAACCACAGTAATGTGAAGGGACATTTGGGTGTTTCTGTTCTTGAAAAGCCTAGGTCAAACCATGAGTCTGATTTTGTAGTTGCTGGGTACCTGTAATTCTTAGCAATTTTCCTGGAGCTGAACATGTGTATCACTTTGAAAATCAGATCTCAGTTTTCTCCCACAGCATATTTTAAAACCAAGGTATTCAAAAGAAAGATTTGCTTTTCAAAACTGAGTCTTTAATGCCACAAAAACTATTCCTAATATAAAACCAGCATCCACCTTAAATCTGAAGCTTTATTGAATTATTCTCCACTGTCCCTGAGTAGCATAAAACCAGCTCTGTGTAAGAGGATGATATCTCCAGAGATGCTACAGCCTTGAGGCACAACAGGATATTATCTTGTAAAATAGGTTTACCCATGAATCAGCCATATCTTGCTTTTGTACAGTGAGATTTTATGATTCAAAACTTAATTTCCCATGTTGTCTATGTAAATATTTTTATTTGTCCTTATATAAAATGTTATTTAAATAAAATGTTAAATAAAATGTATGGCAGTGATGCTAGACTAACAAAGAAATGTACTTAAGAAGAAAAGAAATTTGTTTCTGATAGCATATCAGCTTTGGCTTCCAGAAGTTGCCAGGAGTGACATCTTGGGTATTATGGTGTCCTCTTAAGATCCAATATTACAGCCAAATTCTGTTTTCTAGATATGATTCTAATTTATATTGATGGGTGGAAGTTTTGTGCCAGTGAGGGTTTTACTAAGTGACTTAAAATGAGAGGTGGGGTTTTGTTTCTGAGGCAGAATTTAACCTACAAGTTTATTTGAATGTAGCCTCAATAGTAATGTAAAATACCAGAAATGTCTCAAATAAAAAAAACCCCAGTATTTGAGAGCTGACAATTGCCATTCTTATCTGTCCTGTGTTCAGATGTATTTTTCTGTTGATCCACCTAGCATATTTCTGAGGGGAAAAGAGATCTTTCTTATGGGATTCTAAGTTTAAAAGATTTTTTCTTTGCAAAGTGGACGCTGGTGATCTGTTTTTTAAATTTCAGTACAACTGGAATGGCCTGGGCTTCCAGGTTTATCTGAGTTCTTCAGTCAAGGATCCTCCCCTGGAGCCTTGCAAGGTTAAATCTCTTATTATGGGACTATGTCATATTTAAGATGAGAACAGCTTGACTGATGCATTGAAATACAGTATTTTCCATGACGATATATAATGAAATCGCAATATTGATATTGCAAAAATCTGTTTACTAGGAAAATATATTACCCAAGGTCTCTACAAAGGCTGTCTTTCTGAACTTTGCTTGCATTAAATTTGGGACTTCTAGCATGGGTAAGGATTTGACACAATAGTAAAGGTCATCAGATTGCTGCTGGCCTCACAGAGGAATCACAGTTTAAAAAAATGCATTTTTCAGGTTGAGCAGGGCTGTGAATCTGCATGCACATGGTTTTCTGTGCACATGTGTTTGTGTATATCATAGTAATTTCTATTTCTTTTAAATTATTTTTACTTCACTTGAATAGGACAAATAGAACAGATGACTTTCTGTTTTAGCTTTTTAGTAGTTTAGTTTTTTAAAAATTCGCTTTATATCCTCATGCACTAAGTTATATTAGGAGCTGAAGCAGGAGGCCAAGCCATATTATTGCATCTGTTAAAAACTGGTTGGTTTTTGTTTCAGTAGTACTTGCAGGTTGTACATCCCTGTCAAGTTACAGGCTTGACATTTCTGTTGAAGGAACTGGAGCTTTCTCACTGGAACAATAGGAGGTCACAGAAATGGCAAACTTTTTTCCTAAATGAATAAAATCATGTGCCTTCAACTTCCACTAGTGACCCAGGGGCAATGGAAATCAAACCATAGTCCTATTAGCAGGCTTGTGCTTGTTCACACACCTTGCATAAAAACATGTGCATGGGTGATCTAAAATACAGAAAATACAGTTTGTGATTTCTGTGGGATGAGTCCACATACAGAGCCTTTTGCAAAAAAAAAAAAAAAAAAAAAAAAAGAAATCTCCCACACTTTTGGAAATAAATGCAACTTGTAACTTCTGATGATAAAAAAAAAGGTAATGCTCATTTTTAATTTAGCATTCTATCAGAGTCAGATCTCTTCCTGTTTTCACCAGAAGCACAAGTATTAATTACCAGAAGAACAAGACAATGTGATGTGGCTGGTACTTCTGAAAGGCATTCCTGTAGGACTTTTATGTGGCAGAAGTGCTCTTGGTGATAGGAAAAAGCTGTCATCAAGTGCAGTGTTTGGGCATAAGCATTGGTGTGCTGTGTGTGCACCTCTTTCTTCTGGACAGACTTACTGCCAAATGTAACTGCTGCTTCAGTGGGGCTTATGGTATTGTTCATAAGCTGCTGTGGAACAGTTTTTTATGCAAATATTTGGGTGATGGAATTTTCTCCAAGGTAACGTGCTGCAGGATGGAGGGCTGGAGTTTGGAGGGATTTAATTTCCCAACAATGCAAATAGTTTGGGTTTTAATAGCACTCCGGCACCTAGTTGTGGAAAATGCCAGTAGGTGTCTTTAGGCATGTAAATATTTGTGAAAATCTGCCCTGAGAGTTGTTTTTCAGCAAATGGCTTGGAAAAAAAATCCTAATTTTTCCTCTCTGCTGTAAACAAACCAGTTTTAATTAGTGTAGCTTGGAGAACTATATTTGAATTTGAATTATGAGTGATTACATTTTTTGTGAGATGCTGAAACATGCAGCCCTTGGTAAGTTTCTCTTCCAGTTTGTCTGGAATAACGCACATACTTGGTATAATAACCACAGGAAGAAGACACAGTATTTTATGAGTTACTGTTAAAATTATAGGGAATTTTTTTTTTTAAGATGACAATGCTGTTACATTTTTATGTCACCTTTTCTATGGGAAGATCCTCAGCTCTCATTTGACCAGTCATACAAACAATGTTCTACAATCTAAATTGAAAGGAAAGGTTAATTTAATCTCATACAGCAATTAGAACAAGCAAAGCACAGTAAGGCTGGGAGAGTTAAAAGTAATTAAAAGTAATTTTTTTGTAAGGAGCAGGCCTGCACCAAACACAGCACAGACAGCTGGGCAAGAGAGGTGAATTTGTGTTCGGCTTTGGTACAGCCTTATCTCGAGTGCTGTGTGCAGTTCTTGGCCTCGCAATTTAAGAAGCAAGGGCAGGTCCCTGAATGTGTCCAGAGAACAACAAAGCTGGTGAAAGGGCTGGAAGTGCTCTGCGGGGAGGCAGAGGGCTCTGGGTTTGTGTTGTTTGGAGCAAAAGAGGCTGAGGGGTGACCTCATTGCTCTTTGCAGCTTCCTAAGGGGAAGCAGAGAAGAAGGTGCGGAGCTCTTCTTGCTGGTATCCAGAGATAGGATGTGCAGGAATGGTGCAAAACTGCACCATGGAAGATTTAGATTGGACTTAGGGAAGCATTTCTTTACCAAGAGGCTGGTCAAACACTGGAATAGGCTTTCCAGAGAGGTAATTCCTGTCTCAGGCCTGGCAGTGCTTAAGAGGCTGTTGGAAAATACCCTTAATAACATGCTTTAACTTTTTGTCAGCGCTGAATTGGTCAGGCAGGGGGATTAGTTGGTAGATACTGCTCCCTCCCCATTAAAATATTCTATTCTATTCTATTCTATTCTATTCTATTCTATTCTATTCCCATCCCATCCCATCCCATCCCATCCCATCCCATCCCAAACTTGTCAGGCTTCAGAGCAGCTTCACTCTGAGTGATATCAGTTGGTTATTGATAAATCAGCTATCAATTTTCTCTGAAAGACTGGAATATAAGTGACAGGAAAATACGCGTTTCCATGACTTGGATTCTGATAGAAGGAATAGCTTTGTAAGACAGTGAGCAGGTTTACCAAAGTGCAGCTGACATGTGAACTTTGAATTTAGTAAAAACTTGAGGGTGAGTGAACTTTAAAACTTATATACTTTCAAGTGCTTGCCTGCATCAGGGCATCTAGAAATTCAAATTTATTATCCCACTGTGTACACAGAGGCGTATGTAACATCACCATTTTACTGAAATAATACGTGTCAACTTATTTGAGGAACATGCACTAGGGGGGGTGGGATCAGAAAGCAGATTTAGCATGACAGTAATTTTTCTCTACATTATATGGTTGTGAAATCCTTAAAAAGAAAAATAAATAAATAAAAAAGCCCTAGCATCTGCTATTGTATAAGTTAAATTTTTCTCATATGTGGGCTGAGCTGGCAATTTATGGATAGTCCATATACAGAAAATAGAGCTGATTAGATGTTCAGAAAGGAACCTGCTCTTTGGATACTGGAGTTTTATTATGTAATGGATTACTCAGATTCATCTTTCCCCATATCTCTGCCAAATTTGGAGGATGAACCCCATGGCCTGCCTTTGGCTGCTGTAACACTTTGTCCTTTTACTGTCAACAGCCAGCAGTACTGGACACAAATTGAGAAGAACAGGAAAGTATCTTCCCAGGAATTTGATGAAGCAGGTAGGTGTCAGCAGAGAACCAGAAAGCAGCAGCTGTCCTTTGGCAGCACTGGCAAAAGGGCAGCACCACAAGATGTGTGTGTGTAAAGAGCAAAGTGCTGTGAAACAGAGAGCACCGTAACCTGAAAGGAGGGTGCCCTTAATTCTGTGTTCAGCTGCGCCAGTGTCATTTACAGTGGCTGGGGGGTTTGGTAGAGATGGATCAGGTCTGCTGAAAGACCAGGACCTGATCTTGGATTTGCTGTCTCTGTGTTTTCTATGGTGAATCACAGAACTGTGATAGTGGTGACCATAAAGTGACCAGAAGCAATAGCTGTGGGAATGCCTCTCCTGCGGTGACAGCCCCGGTTGTGCTGCTTTGGAGCTCTGCAGACAGCAAATACAGTGGGAACAGTGAACCAGCTTAGAGCCTCTCATTGCTGTTCTGCCTGGGAAATTGTCACGGTGCAAGTTGCAGCCTGCAGCTGGCCACATGTGCAGTGTGGCCTGTGATGGGAGCCCTGTCCCTCTGTCCATCAGCAGGGAGCTTGCCCTGAGCACTGCAGGGAGAGACAGAAGAACTGGATAACAGAAACCTGCTGGCCAAGCAGCAACACTGCCCATGTGAAGATGCCAAACTAACTGTGCCCTGCTGTCTCTGCTGTAAGTGGTCAAAGCTGAACAGGGTGAGTTGCTCTGTTCCTAGGCTGGAAGGAGATGATGAAAAGTTCATGGTATGCTTGTGGCTAAACAGGGTCACTCCTTTTCCTCCTGTAATCCCAGAAACATACTGTGGTAGCATTTTGATCTGGAATTCTGACTGTCCTATTTAGTTACATTGGCTGTTTTGGTCTTTCAAAAGTTCTAGTACAGCTGTTTGTACTAGATATGGCATTAAAATGAGAAGAAAAACAATTCCTAAGAACATCTCTGGAAAAATCTTGTTCTCATCCTGAATTAATAATCATGAATAAAAACTTTGTTTTGCAGTTCTGCAAAGAATAAGGGTCAATTAGTGCAAGGTCTAATTGGTGGCAAGGCTTTAGTGACACAAGCAAACTGAGGCTAATTCAAACGTGGTTTAGGACATCCATCCCAGACATAAACGTGAGACCCAGAACTTGGATCTGAAATGGTGGAAAATGGACTCTCTCCCCACTGAAGAACCATTTAGTTAATGGTTTTGGTTCAGATGTCTTCTTGAATTAGAAACTGAAATTTGAATTTTGACTAAAGGACCCAATGCCAGGTATTGTAAATTATTGGTTTTCACATGTGCTTCCAGTTCTCAGTGTGTTTATTCTTAAAATAGTGTAGCTCCCTTCTCTCTTTAAAGTGCTTGGAAAATTTCAACTGTAGCATGTTAAACAGCATTTTATTTTAGTAGGAGGCTTATTTCAAAGTGATTCAACACTCACTTTGCCTATAGAAATTGGCAGTTTTACAGTGGAGCAGTTATTGAGAGGTAAACTTGGAGACTGAAATGGTTAGTTTTATTAAAATGGACAGCTTTTGTGATAAATTAATGCATCATTGAAGGAACAAAGTTCACATATTAAGCATTAATATCTGTGTACTGTTTCTGATTTAGGAGAGTGCTCTTTTGTTGAGTGGTGGGATAATATACTTGAACATTTGGATATGAAAGTGCTTTAAAGGCTATTGGTAAAAGCACTTGTATTGCAAATGTTGCTGTACCAAATATGGCTCAACTTGAAATATTTACTGTGGAGAAGGGCTTATGAATTTATTTTGGCTCTACTGGACAGATTTTATGAATGCTTCCATTTTATGCCTGTAGATACTAGTAAAAGAAATCCATGCAGTCTTTTTTTGTAGATGAATATCCTGCTTCCCAACAGGCACTAGCTGAATAGACTGAAATACATTAACTGCATGATGTATTTGGAAATGTTGGTTTTGGTATTTAGCAGCACTTTGTTAAAGAACATAATGCATACAGAAAATGCAGCACCCAGCTCTCAGTTACAAAGGTAGGTCTGTTTGTATTGAAAGCAACAATCTATTCTATTTATTGACTTACATTACTTTATTTCTTCTATTCTCATTAAACCCTATGGAATGAAAAAATGTATTTAAAATATATTTTAGAACTTCTGTGTACTACTTACTGGTAAATGTTCAGCCAAGATCAGCTGTTGAGGCAGCACATTCTGGAAGCTAAGGTGGTTTCTCTGTCTCTTGCTTTTTACCCTAATCTGCATTAAGCCTGGCTTGAGGGAACCCCGCAGGGAGAGCTGGACACAGCGAGCAGGAGAGTCCAGGCAAGGATCCTGCTCCCACCAGATCCTGAGCACAGGGATCCCCTCCTGCAGAAACAGGATCTGAAAAGGCAGATGCCACTTCACCTGACAAAATGTAAATGATCTCTACTTGGTAAATTTAAATATTCCTGCTATTGCCAGATCTATCATTCATCAGGACCCCATGGGAGGGGAGAGGGGAAATTATTGCAGCAATAAATCTGCTACAGTGCTGTTCCTTATCTGTTTTGGTAGAATGATGCCATCTTAGCTGCTGTACCAACATGTAGGACGTGCTTTTTTAAAGAAAGGCTTGGTTATTTTGGTTGCATTTAATGCCTTATGTATTTATTTCCCTCACCTTTCCACCCCCCTTTCTAACAAATAAAATCTGTCTTACATGAAGTCACTGACATGTTTACTTAAATTGAGGTTCTTTTCAGGGCAGAATTTGACTGACTATAGAATTATTATTGAATGGTCTGGGTTTTTTTTTTTTTTTCTTCCAAAGAAAAGCAGTTCTTTTCTCCTTTTTTTGCTCCTACTTTTGTATTTCAAATTGTTTCTCAGAGTGGTTTAAAAACTTGTTAATTTGAAAAATTACAAAAGGATCAGCTAGAACACCTATTAAGGAAGAGAAGACTCAACCACTGTATAAAAGTGTTAGTTCTTTCCTTTTCAGATGCCTCTTCCATGCAACCCATGAACTCCATTATTCACCCCTTACAAGGTACAGGACTGCAGGTATATCTCATTTACACATTTTTTCTCGGCTCTGAATTTTTGTTGCTATTTACAGAAACACTGGAGTGGTGACTCAAGTTATTTTTTAATCTTTAATATCTCAAACACTACCCACTCTTGTTATTTTGACTGCATGAACAGTCTTTGGAGGACTAAAACTGCAACAATAAACTGAATTGTACATATATTGATGCAAGTGAGGTGCAGACCATAGAAACTAGAGTGGAATCAGGCTTTACACCCCCCTAGCCTGTCCCAAATCTTAAAAAGCAGGGAAAGCCCTGAGGAGCCTTGACAGGAGCAGACCATTGCTCATGCTTTCCCTTATGCTGTTGTACTCTAACTCAGCCACAGACTATTCCAAGGGGAAGCTGGGTGCAGGGGCAGCAACAGCCTTTTTATTTTGTTCTCCTGTTGGTTTGTGTGCCCCGGCTTTGGGCCCGATGACTCATTAACAGCTCTGCTCAGTAACTGGAGTGACTCTGCTGACCCCACTCTCCAACCTTTGCCTCTGATGAGCTGTGACTTGTTCCCAGTTTTACATTACTGTAAGTATTTTGTCAGCCTCTTGTACTTCGCAGCACTTGCCAAGCATTCTCTCTGCTTGAGCCCACCTGGCCTTTGAGCCCAATTACTGTCGTGGTGTGGTAGGTAAAGACAGCACAGCCACTGCCTGGTTCAGCCATCGCCTCTTTAAAGCCTCTGCTGCAGCACCTCTGCACTTGTTCAGTAACTGATCAGACCCTGGTTATTCATTCCATGAATACAGCACCTTCTGCTGTTCCAGACTTCAGAAATTCTTGGATAAGCATATTCTACTTCAGGTAGACACTGAAGATGAAACCCAGCTTTGTGCTGTGCCCTCCTGTGCGGAGCATACAGCTGCTGTGCCTGCCTTCAGTGCAGGCTGAGATGTGTTGCTTTCCCGTGGGCAGCACATCTCCCTCAGCAGCAGGATCTGAATGTGCCCTGTGAAAGCGGCTCCATTCCCTACAACCCTGCCAGGACTGCTCAGCAGCAGTGCCTCAGTGCTTTGTGTAGCTCCTCTCTATTGTGCTTGCAGGGCATCTCGACGTTGGAAGGAAGGAATGAATCTATGTTCTCAGAACGCTAATATTTTATGATACTATATTATATTAAAGAATAGTAAACTATACTATAGTAAAGAATACAGAAAGGATACTTACAGAATGCTAAAAAGATAATGAAAAGTCGTGACTCTCTCCACAGTCCCGAGACAGCTTGGCACTGATTGGCCATTGAGTCAAAACAATTCACATCAAAAACTAATGAAAAAATCTCCTGTTGATAAACAATCTCTAACTACATTCCAAAGGAGCAAAACACAAGAAAAGCAAATGAGACAATTATGGTTTTCCTTTTTCTCTGAGGCTTTTCAGCTTCCCAGGAGAAAAATCCTGGGCATTTTCTGAAAACAGGAATTTTTCAGAAAACATGAATGTAACATCTCTCCTCTGCATGTGCATTTACTGCATGTGTCTAAATTCTTCACCCAGGGCCATTGCTGTGGGACCCTCCACACCCAGCCTACAGCCACCAAACTGACCTGCAGCTCACAGATTTGGTTCTCACCCTGCCAAAGGGGAAACTGAAGGACATAGTGAAGTCTTTGCTTTCTAACATAATATAGATTAATTTCTGTTCTGCATTCACAGGGAATTGATGTAGACAAACATGTAAGATAAAACAGCTACTGCTCTGATACAGAAGCTGAGCAGCCCTTAAAGCCATACTCTGGGGAAGAAGTGTGTAGCATTTGAAAAAAAAAACCAAAGCAGTTTTCTCATAAATGGCCTGCAGCTATTTTCAGATTTACTTTTTTAGCTTGCCAACTAAAGGTATGCCATAAACTACATGAACAGAGCTGTCTCTAAGGAGACTGCTAATATTAGTGGTGGCTTCTTATTGTGATGGACAGCGATTCTCCGCAATATAAATAACTCTTAGCTTACATTAAATTAAAAAAATAAAAAAAAGAAAAAAAATTCTAACTTCAAAGAAAATCTCAAAGTAAGACTGCTACCAGTTTTGGTTCAGATCCCTTGCACATGAAGATACAGTTTTTAAGTCAAGAATCGTGTTACTTTTAAACCATGATGATCCAGGATGAGTGGCCTATTCTGACTGAATGGGTCTCTTCAGTATTTCTCATGGAATAGAATAGGCAGGGAGAGCCAGGCTTGAGGACAGCTGCCTGATCCAGCACACCCCAGCAATGCCATCTGTGAGGGACAGAGCTCCAACCAAGCAGCTGTAATGATGCACCCACACTGGACCTTGGCCTTATTCCTGGAAGAGTTTCATTTGAAACTTTCATTTGAAATAAAGGGTCAGCTTTGTTATTATAGACAATTTCAACCCACGTGTCTGATGTCTGCCAAAATTCTGACCAGAAAAATCTGGTCATGAAAGGAGAAGTGATAATAATCTTACTGGAGATTGAAGTGAAATATACACTCAGAGATAAGCTGCTTTAGAAATCTTTCTGCCTATTCAGAACATAGAAACACATCCTTGTGGTGCAAAACTACCCCTCCTCTCTCTTAAAAGCTGATGTGTGAATGAACATTCAGGAATCAGCAACATGCTCAAAAACCAGGTCTGATTACTTCTCACTATATGAAACGGAAGGTGAAAAAAAAGCCTCACCAGTATTTGTTTTGATTTTTTTAATGACCAAGTGTAGCAAAACCAAAGCAACCGTGAACAAGATAATTGTACACACACATGTTAGTCAATAACTAAACTGTGCAAACTGACCTCAGTACTTGTTCCCTCGTTACTCCCTCCCCCTCTCACAGGAAAGATTCATATACAGTGCAGCAGTGCAGCTCTGAGCCACTGCTCAAAGTCAGTAAAAATATTTTTGTAACCTTAAGTAGGAAATGTAGTAGGCCAAGGATTGAAATAAAGACTTTTCAGGCCTCTGCTTAACCTTCCTGTACCTCAGTGTTTGCTTTCAGTGATCAGAATACCTTACCTGACTATAAGATTAGTATTTTTTTACTAGCAGAAATCCTTTGAGAGTTCACATATTTTTCCTTTTGACAAAACTGATTATTTCAAAGGCTGCTACTTGATTCAGAAGTAAGATTTTTATGATCCGAGATGTGCAACCTAAATATTTAATCTAATAATTTAATTTTACAGTGCAAATACAAAATTGGTAATTAAGTAGACAAAAAAAAATATTACAGGACACTCTTGTCAATCCTTACTATTTCAGAAGGACTCCTTGGTAAGCCCTGTTCAAAAAACCACATTAACTGCTTTGTGTTAATAGACTGATCCCATGAAGCAGAACAAATTCTTATAGTTCATTGTGTTGAAGACCTTGAGAGATTCTGCTGGATAAGTCTTGCAAGTGCTTCTTTACCTATCAGGAAAACAAAACACACAAAACACACTTCAGGAAGACAATAAATTATCAATATAGTAATATATTCAGATTTTGCTACGAGTATTTGTAACAACAGAAAGAGCAGAGAGCAGGAAGATTTCAGGCCTTTTAGAACTATGTCTATAAAAAACAATTATGTATATGCTGTACTAAACATGGAGAACAGATGTGTCTTGAACTCCCCTTCTGGAATTCATTCAGCTTGCATGAAAAATCAGCACTGGATAATCTACTTCCCCTCTGCTACTGAGTTAAACTTTCAACATGTATGTAACACTGGATTTATACAGACCTTATATCCTAGTTCTTTTGTCTTTTCTTGCAGCATGGCATATTTCTCTTTGTTTCTGTTCAGATGATCCTTGTCTCCAGTTCCCTCTACATGCTTCAGTTTCTGGTGTGAAATCTCTAATTGTTTCTGGTAATGATGGTGCTTTTCAATTTTTGCTTCGAAATGTTTCAGCTCCTCCTAAGATAACAAATACACACAGCTTCAGAAGAGTTGCTTTCCAAGCCTTCCTTTCTCTTGCCAAGACACTCCTAATGATACTTTACTAAGTCAGGCGCAGAAAGCTTTTTCAGTTCCCTGCTTCTTAAGAATGTCTGGACAACCCATTACCATCACCACCAGACTGCTGATTTTGAAAGCAGTGCTGAAAACGACCCACTGCAGAGTCCTCAAAAGGAGACTGTGGGTGGCTGTGAGGTGCTACAAGATGAGAGCAGAGAACACCAAGCAAAAATTTAGGCATAAGAACAGTAGACTGAGGGGAGAGAGACAAATTTTTAAAAAAGCCTCTTTTTAAAATCTGATAAACAGGCAGAGTCAGATTTAAAAAACAAAATCAAATCTTTATATAACTTAAATTGAATAAAAGTGGTATGAACTGCACAGGCATGGATTTCTCTATTATTTCTCTATTATTTTCTCTATTATTTCCTTATCACAATAGTTTTGTGTCAGCTCAACACAGTTCCAACATGGGAAGTTAACAGTACAAGAGATGAGCATGAGAGGGAAATTGCTGGGTATAGAGATTGCAGTGCTTCCCAAGGACATAATTAAGACATTCGTAAGAGGGGTAAATCTGGTGCCTTGACAACAAAGAAGAGGAACCTGATCTTTCAGAGATTCAAAATATGCAACAGTTGTTTTGAGAGGATGCGGAATTTTCATTCTGCTGATTATA